TTGCAATCAATCTCATATTATTTCCTGTAATTATCAAATCATCCACATACAGATAGACAATAACAACATCCCCTTGCTGATTATTTTTTACATACAAAGTATGTTCATATGGACACCTTTGAAATTTATGTTCCATGAAGTAAGAATCAATTCTGGTGTACCATGCCCTTGGAGCTTGTTTAAGGCCATACAAAGCCTTTTTCAGCTTATACACCATATCAGCTTGCCCTTGTTTTACATAACCTGCTGGTTGCTCAAGATAAACCTCTTCTTCCAAGGTTCCATTCAAAAATGCAGATTTTACATCCATTTGGAATATCTTCCAAGCATTATGGGCAGCAAGAGAAATAACCATTCTAACAGTATCAAGCCTAGCAACAGGAGCAAAAACCTCAAAATAATCAATACCTGGTTTTTGCTTGAAGCCTTTAGCTACTAACCTTGCCTTGAAACGATCCACATCTCCATTCGGCTTGTACTTTGTCTTGTATACCCATTTAACTCCAATAGGTGTCTTTCCTTCAGGAAGAGAAGTAAGCTCCCAAGTGTCATTCTTTTCAATTGCATGAATCTCTTCACCCATTGCTTTAATCCAGTGTTCATGTTCACATGCCTCCTCAAATGATAGAGGATCACAATCTGCATACAGGGCAAAATTCACAATTTCTTCATCTGAGGCAACATTTCCTGTCATTTGATAATCTTGGAAGCGAGATGGCAATCGATGCTCACGTGTTGACCTTCTTGGCTCAACTTCCTGTTGAATTTCTGGTTCATTTACTTGTTGATCATCTCCAAAATGATAATTATCAGCTGCTGGAAAATATGTTGCAGGTCTGCTTTCATTCAAGGACCAATCCCAAGTTCCTTGCTCATCAAAAGTAACATCCCTGCTGATTATAACCTTCTCTGTCTTTGGATTATAAAGCTTGTAGCTTTTTGTGACTGTGCTGTAGCCAATAAAAATGCATTTTTCTGCCTTCTCATCAAGTTTCTTTCTAATATGATCTGGGACATGAGAATAAGCAATACATCCAAACACACGAAGATGCTGAATATTTGGCTTCCTGCCACTCCAAACTTCATAAGGAGTTCTTCCATTCACACTTCTGCTAGGAGCCCTATTCAAAATATACACAGCACAAGCAACAGCTTCTGCCCAAAAATACTTAGGCAGATTCTTCAATTTCAGCATACACCTCACCATATCCATAATTGTTCTGTTTTTTCTCTCAGCCACACCATTTTGCTGAGGTGTATACCTGGCTGTCAGTTGATGTTTTATCCCATTCTTCTCTAAAAACTCATCACAGACTATGTATTCTTGGCCTCTGTCAGTTCTCAGTACTTTTATCATTTCACCACTTTGTTTCTCAACATAGGCCTTGAACTTCTTGAAAGTGTCACAAGCATCAGATTTGTTCTTTAAGATATACACCCAAGTCTTCCTGCTGAAATCATCAATAAATGTAATGAAATATTTTCCACCACCGTGTGAGGTTGTCTCAACACTACACAGATCAGAGTGTATCACTTCAAGAGGCCTTTGAGCTCTAAAGGCTTTTCCTTTAGGAAAACTGTCTCTATGCTTTTTACCAAGAACACAGGTCTCACATAAATCATTAGGCACAGAAATATGAGGCAAACCAAATACCAGATTTTTCTGAGCAAGGAGATTTAAACTGTTAAAATTTAAATGTCCATATCGCATGTGCCATAGCCAGTTATCATCAACCATCATTGAACTGAAACAAGGTAATTCACGGTAACTGAGATACAATGGAAACAGCCGGTTTGGTGTCATTTTTACCTTTGCTATTAGTCTATGATTGGCAGCATGGATGGTGCAAACTCCATTGACAATTTGGATGTCATATCCTTTCTCTGACAACTGTCCCAAACTCAACAAATTGTGCCGCAAACCAGGCACGTAATAAACATCTGATATGGAATTGGACGAGCCATCCTTTAGCTTGATAGAGATTCTCCCTTTTCCTTTGGCTGGAATCTTTGTTTGATCACCAAATGTGATCACAGACTGCACAGACTCATTCAAATCACTGAACAAATCCTTGTGCCCACACATATGATTACTGCATCCAGTATCCAACAACCACTTGTTTTTCTCATCATCACTTACAGCATTAAAAGCCAGCAACAAAGTTTCTTCATTGCCTTTATCATTTTCTGCAAACTTAGCATGATGCCCCTTATTTTCAAACCTCTGAGAATTGCATTCATTTTTGTAATCTGAGAATTGCAAAGCTCCTCCACCATAGAGGTGTTCATGTAACCTTTGTCAACACAGAATTCAACCACAACCGCTTTCTTAAATCTCTTGGACCCAACTCCCTTGACGGGTTGCCCGATTTTCGATTCGAAACTATTCCTGATGGCCTTCCAGCTGGTTCAGATCAAGATGCAACCCAAGATGTCTCCTTGGTTTCTGATTCCATCAACAACAAACCCTTGGCCCTGTTTCGAGACCTCCTTATGAAACTCAAAGACAGAACAACTTCCAACAGTGACATCAATCCTCCAGTGACTTGCATTGTTTCAGATGGTTTCATGCCATTCACAACCACAGCTGCAGAAGAAATTGGAGTTCCTGTAGTGCTTTTGTTTACTATTGCTGCATGCAGCTTCATGGGCTATAAGCAATACCCTGCTTTGGTGGAAAAAGGTCTTGCGCCCCTCAAAGGTGAAATAAAGGTTTTTTAAGGAATTATTTGTATGATATTATTTATTAACAAATGAAGCTTTTCTCTAATTAAATCTTACTTTGGGTGTTAATTATGTAGATGAGAGCTGTTTGACAAATGGCTTCTTGGACAAGGAAATAGATTGGATTCCAGGAATGAAAGGTATTCATTTGAGGGATCTACCGACGAATTTTCGAACTACAGATCCCAATGACTTCCTGTTTAACTTGTCCTTGGAATCAATTGAAAGAGTTCGTAAAGCTTCAGCAGTTGTGCTTCATACTTTTGATGCATTGGAGCCAGATGTTTTGAATGCTTTGTCATCTATGTTTCCACTTGTTTATGCCATTGGCCCTGACCAATTACTTCTCAATCAATTACCAGAAGACCCTTTGAAGCATATTGGATACAGTTTATTGAAAGAAGAAACTGAATGCCTTGAATGGCTAAAATCCAAGGCACCAAATTCAGTTGTGTATGTGAATTTTGGCAGCCTAGCAGTCCTGACACCACAACAACTTGTTGAGTTTGGATGGGGACTTGCAAATAGTAAGCTTCCTTTCTTTTGGGTAATTAGGCCTGATTTGGTTGTTAGTGAATCCGCAATTTTGCCACCTGAGTTTGTAGCTGAAACAAAGGAAAGAGGTCTAATAGCAAGTTGGTGCCCACAAGAGCAAGTCCTTAATGACCCATCAGTCGGAGTGTTTTTGACACACGGCGGTTGGAATTCAACCATTGAGAGTTTGTGTGCAGGAGTGCCTATGCTTTGTTGGCCATTTTTTGCAGACCAACAAACAAACTGTTACTATGTTTGCAATGAATGGGGAATTGGCTTGGAGATCAACAATGATGTCAAGAGAGACCAAGTAGAGAAGCTTGTTAAAGAGTTAATGGAAGGAGAGAAGGGTAAGAAAATGAAAAATAAGGTCATGGAGTGGAAGAAAATAGCAGAAGAAGCCACCAGTCAACATGGTTCTTCATCCACAAACTTAGACAATTTAGTGAATCAAGTGATCTTAGGAAAAATCTAGATTATTTTCATTAAAGTTTTAACCCTGCGTACCATTAGGCCTCTCTTCTCTCTCTAGTCTGAAGAGAGAAAAACCCTGTCGTCCCCTCATCCCCTCCCCTACTCCTTTCCCCCTTTCCTCTCCTCTTTTCTTCTCCCCATCTTTCTCCACTCTCCTCCCTCCCTTATACCCGTCCCCTCTGCTTCTCACCCGCCCTTCCTCCTTGTCCCTCCTTTCCTTTTGCTCCTTCCCTCTCTCGCAGTTTTAGGCTGGGATTGTGTGACTGGCTCTTTTGGTTTTTCGGTTTTCTTTTTTGCAGATCCGGAGTTGTCAATTTTCGAGTTGCTTTGGGACCACTTTGCTGCCTCTGTTGGTTGCTTTGCATATCTTTTGTCGACTTTGGTTGCTGCTTTTGATTTCGGGTTTTTTGTTTGCAGTTTGGGTGTTGATTTTAGTGCTTGTTGCAGTGTCTATTTGTATTTTATTTTACTTGTGAGAGTTAAAAGTTGTAATTGCACTTGTAGTTTGGGTGTCTAGGTCGTTTGGCTGTAGGGCGGGTTGTGTTCTATTCTTGATTTATCTAGGCTCTTGGTTTCTTTACCGCATTTTCTTTGGCCATGTGTTGCTATGAGGGAAGATACAATGTTGATGCCGGTGTATTCCCCCTTATCTGGATTAACCTTTGGTGGGCTACTCTGCTTCCACATTTGTATTAACCTTATATGGGTATATGTTTTTGTACTGGCCTTTACAACTAACAACCTTTGTGCTTGATTTATAAATGCAATGAATCGCTTCCTCTTAAAATGAAAAACCCAGATTTTGTTATTCTGTATACACCTTTCCCTTGTTGGTTCTTTAGCAAGATCAAATCTCGTATATGTATAGTGGTCGGAAGATTTAATACATCTCAGTTTAAATAATACTTGGATCTAATAGAGATAGACCTTGTGCGAAAGTTAGCCTATCAATACGCACAAAAAACCAAAAAAAAAAAAAAAACCCATATAA